TTTAACTTTCAAAAAACAGTGATCATATAAACAGATTCATGCCAAATTTAATACCAGTTACTTCACAAAATCTTATTTCTCCACTACTTAACAATACAAAAGCTAATCTGCCTGCTGTACTGAACAAAAAACCCCAATTTTTACACAACCTGAACATGCTTATCACAAACATCCCCCTCAAATATATACTACAGCATCTTCCACTTCACCTAACACAGGGAATGACGTATGCTGTGCTGGAAGAGAGACGCCTAACATCCACGGCAATTAAGCCACATAAGAGATATTCAAGTTAATTACAAACGACAAGTAGAAGCATATGCTGCTCACCAGTCAGAACAAGAATCACAGAAATCCAAGGACATTTCTTGAGGGCAGTCTTGGCAATGCCACCGAACACCCTGAATAGGTTCAATTCCGCAGTTATCACACTGTGAAGCAGATTGAAGAACTTTGAGAAAAAGAAACCTTAAGCACTTAGTGCACCAGTAACAGTTACTCCAATATACCATATACAAAAATATGTATGTTAGTTGGTTACTGCTAGCCCTTATAGCTAAATTCGTATCATCACAGACCATAATGTATTCATGGATAAAGAAGTCCCCGTGTTCTAGGACAGGCCCTCCGGAGGCTTGAGGATTAATCTTGCTTGATTTCTCTTGCTTCGCTCCCCGCTCCTCAATCACTCCATGTTGAGGTTCTCCTCCTCCTCAAGAAAACCAGACCTAGCCCTACCTGCAGTCCATGCTTATCCTCAAATGGCTGAAAAAATTGGTAGAATATGATACAGGGCCTCTCTGCCTCTAGGGTGAACGTGATGTCTCTATAGCCTAAGTCCAACAATGGGAAACATCTGAATATGGACCCAATTTCCATAGAAGAAAGCAGCAGTAAGACTAGACCACTTGAGCTTGCAGTAAGGCTGTTGATGGGCTGTAGGTAAGGACAAGAAAGGTTAGACTGATGCTTTTTTAAATTCAGGAAGTGTAACACATAAGTGGGCTGAAACTAAAAGCCAGTTGGCTAGAAAGGAAGTGGGAAAATTCCAATAAGGAAACAGAAGTCTGAAACTAAAGCTGGGCAACAAAGATATGAACTCATTCCCTGAGAAGAATTCAGGGGCAACGCATCTTAAGATCAGCTAAGTATGAGAGGAGAGTGGCAAGAAAAGGAGAAAAGAAAGTGCAAGTAAAATCATAATTGGATGCTTGGGATGGTAGACTGGAGGGGGAGAAATACTAAGGTTTGTTTTCTTTTTTTGTTTAAAAAAAAAAAAAAAAGACTTGAACTGCTAAGCAGGGAGAACCATTCACAATCAAATCATGATGAGTGCTGCAGAGACAGGATTGAAAAGGAAAGAGAAATAGGGGAAACAAGTCTGTGCTCACAGACGCTCATCCTGCTTTCAGAACCTGAAGTGACACTGAAAGTCCTCTTAACACCATCTGAGAAACCCGAAGCCTCCTTCAGCACACACCAAACATCTTCAGTAGAGATCAGCGAGTGGGCTGCCAACTTGCAAGCTAAAAGTAACGGAAGTGATAAACTTCTAAGACCCCCCCAATATACTTGCTGTATAAACTGGACGCTGTGAGTAAATGAGGCCGGGATGAAGGAAGAAAAAGGGCAGGTAAACACCTCAGAGAAGTGGAAGAAGTGAGAATTCCACAGCGAAGCCGTGCCTCTGCCACAGGTTTGAACAGCGCTAAGCAGGCATTCGGCTAAGCAAGCCAGATTTGTATCCCTCCCTTCCGCAATGAAGACCTTCAAAGTTTGGGGGCTGATAACACAGAAGGGCTTACCATATTTAGAGCTGTTCTCTGAAAATATCCAGTTCAATGCAATGCTAAATACATTAAAAAAACAAAACAAAACACACACCCACAGTTCCAGTTATCTCAAGTTAAGAGCCAAAAGTGAGTGGAAACTCTTGACCTTAGTATCGGCGCCCTACCTTCCTGCCTCTGCTGTAAAACAGAAATACCGCGGCCTTTCATTTTATTAAAAATAAAATAAAATAAAAATTCATTAATATTTGCAAAGTACTCCAGCATTACAGCGCTGAAAGGCATTAAAAGCCCACAAGGGAGTCAAGATTCTAATATTCAGAGTAAAGTTTGAATAACATGTAGTAGATGAGGCTGAAGGCCACACAGAACCAAAAAAGATTTAAAAAAACAACCAAACAAAAAAAAAAAGGTTCCAAATGGCTGCTTATTAAATGAGCACTGTCCAGCCTGTGCTTTGAGGGAGGCAGCACTCCAGTGGAAAAAAATATATACATACTCATGCAATTTCATAGCTTACTATAATGCATAACAAAATCAAATTCAGGTTGCAAAGAGGCTTTTTAAACTTCTGAATGCTTAACATGGCATAATGCTAATTTGCTGTTCTAAGTGTAATTTAATGTAGAAAAAAGCAACTAGTTTCTTCTCTAAAACTCCGCTCTTTCGATCACAGTTTTGATTTTTTGGTGGAAAACACAAACTTTCTGAAAAAAAGAAAAATAGAGCCTCCTTCAGTGGCCTAACAACATGATTAAGACTGTCAATATAAACTAATCAAGTTGTCTTACTTTTCCAGTCATTTTGAACTGAACTTTAAACTGAATACCCTTTCATTTTGATAGAAATGGGTATAAGAAAATAAGTCTAGCTGCATAATGCATTTCACAAGCTGAAGAAACTGCTCCAGCATAGTGGCCAGGTACACAGAAAATCCTTCGCAAACCAGGAAACATAACTAGAAAACTCCCTTTCTTTTCATGTCTCCTATTACTGGCTGATGCTGGGACACCACACTGTTTTAACTTAATGTTTATTTTCTTAATTTCACCTAACCAGTCCCTCATGCCCTTGCTTCAACTTCTGCAAGTATTACTTGATAGGATTAGGAAGCTGCTACATTTTTTTTCTGTAGCGAAAAACAAACAAAAAAACCTGTTAATCTACTAGCATTCTCATTCCACATCTTCATCCCTTCTTTGGTCTAAAGTGGGGGCAAAATGAGTCCAAAAGCATAATCAGAGATTTATTTTCAGTGAATCAAGGTCAAAACAGAATGAAGTGTCAAATGGAATTCTGTAAGGAAGTAACATGGCTCTAGCCCTATAAATATGTTCTTAGTATGGATGAAGAAAAGATAGCATCTTACTAATTTTCATGCAGTATCAAAATGAACGTTGGTGAACAAGATCAGATTTCAAATGGATTTTGACAGGCATCTATCTGAGGAAGATAAAACCAACAGACAAAGTATAATGCCTCTCCAGAAATGATCATTCTCCATCTTGTATTAGTGCAGACAACTGTTTAGGTATCTGTTCTGCAGAAAAAACCTGACGGATTAGTGCAGGTAAGCTGGACACAGTTAACAGTGTCCTATAAAGAAAAAACATGAGGATGAGCATATAAACATGTATCAGGAGCACCTACTGCCAGATAAAGGAAGTGGTCTTTATTTTATTCGATCTTGACTTGAGGTGTTCAGTTTGGGGCAGTCTCATCTTGCTTAGAGTACAGAGAGTCCAAACAACAGCAGTATTCTGTGAAACGTGCTAGCAAAAATAGTGATGATTAAAGAAAATGGGGCTTGTTCTGATTAAAGAAAATGAGGGAAAGCAAACATGCTGAGCAAGAATTAAGGAAACATATATGCTATACTAAGTAAAGTCATCTTACGAAATCCAAACTATGTTATCTTTGAAAATGTCTACACTACAGAAAGCAACATCAGTTCATTTTACCTTATATCCCACATGCTGCACAAATCCACTTTCTGCATGCATCTGCTGGAGTTTCTGCTTCTTCAATTTTTTAAACTCTAAGAGTTCTTTGTATTCAGGTAACTCTCGATATGTTATTGGAATACTCTCTTCATCCTGTTCATGGAAGAAGAGACGTCTTTAGGAACACTCTTACCAGTAAGACAGATTCCACGAATCACTAAGTATGATTAATTATCCTTTGAGAAGATACTGGCAAAATATTCTAAGAGACATACTAAGAAATTTCTTCTAGTAAAGTACTTAGCTATAGTATAAAACGAGATAGTGTCTAACTTTAATTCCTAATTTTTCTTTCATTTTAGATGATTACCTTCAATTTGCACATAGTCTACTTGTCCATACATTGTGGGCAAAACGGCAGCTGCAGTACAAAAGTTAGCTTTTATTTAAGACAAAGCTAGTTTATTTTGCTTGTAAATACTTGGCAACAGATACGATGATATTTCAGAATTAAAATTTCATGCAAGTTTTATCAACTTAATTGACCCTTCCCTTTATCATTCTATGGAACATGCATATTTAAAATCATTGTTTGAAAGTACCTTCAAAGCTGTAAAAATATTAAAACAAATGACACTCAAAAACTTGTTTACAGATTTAACAATTTTTGCACAAGCTCAGATTTTTAAAAGACCATAAATCAAGACACATTCAAGCTTTCACTATATGTATTTTTTGAAATGAACACAGACAATCTTAACAGTCTTAACACCTCACCTTAACCAATAAGTAGTGACAAGAACTACTCATCATCACTCATGGTCCTATGACCACAGGATTAGAAGTTTTAGAGAGTTATCCTGTCTTGTGCCCACCCCTTTACTTCATATTTGCTCTTAATAGCTTACAAAATATATTTTTTCCAGAAAATTTTCAGAAGTTATGAAACATTTTGTCTCCCTACATGCTGGCGCCTACAGCTTTGCCAGAGATTTAAAACAAATAGTTCTCTCCTTTAAAACAGCGACCATCCATCCATCTTCTTCATCCAATTTTCGTCAAGGAAAGTTGTGGGCCTCTATGTTGTGAGATAGGAGAAGCACTCATTCCCCTTGAGATGTCAACTGCAAAACAGCTATTTAACTGTGGCAGCTGTACTTGGCACTTGACAACTGCTTTCAAAGAGGTCAGATCTTCAGTGTTTTAAAGCACTTTTCAGATCATATATTGATAGCAATTTTTAATGATGAAAAGCAGCTACAAGGGAACAATGAAAACTCTTATAATGCAACCTATGCATATAATTTAATTCTTTATTTTTATAGATTCTTAGAAAAAAATTTGCATTATTTAGAAAACATTAAATGGAAGAAAGGTAAAAGGTTTGCTGTTTAATGTGAAATTTCTAAAGGCCTTATCAATTATTTAATTTTAATTTTGAAACTATTTAAAGGACTGGACTGTAAATATTTCAAAAAATCATGATTAAATGACATGATTAATTGTGTGGTGATAACCTACATTCTTTTCATATAAAACAGGGGTTCATCTCCTAAACAAAACTCAAAGTTTTTCTGAAAAATACTGCCCAGCACAGAATGACTATATGTTGAATAAACTACGCTATAAAGACTCCCTGTGTGGACACTTTATTCTGGAATAATAAGCAGCTGCATTCCCGAATGATTAGATTACTTGCAAAATGAAGTAATCACAACAGAGTGAAATTACTTTTCAGTTGAGAATAAAGCGTCCTCATTTAGAAATAACTCATTTATACTAAAAAGAATTTTCAGGAATAGTTATGCCAGTCAACAGTTACAGTTATGCATAACAGTTATGCACTACACAGACAACATCTTTTGTTTTTACAAAGGAGCAGCAACTGGTACTTCCATTGTAAAGCAGTCAAAGAAAATCCTTCCTATAATTTTCTTGCTACACCAAATCTCCTCTCCACCATGCTAGTGCATAGTATCTTTCTCTGAGGCAGTGACTGTAAATAAGAGACCTGACTATTATTATTAAAAGAGAACCCAGTACATTCATTTTGAGAATAGCTAGTGATCTCTTTTTAATCTCTTTTTTCCTTTCAATATGCTTCTCTCTTGCATTGATAATGGGGATCTTCCTGATAACTGAGCTCACCTGTGTCTTTCTACATCACTGCAAGCAGATTTCAAAAAAAAAAAAAAAAAAGGGACACAGTAACAGTAAGCAGCAACTTCCAGCAACTTCTATCAAAAAGAAAATAAATCCCAGTAGATCTATGGTGCCCATATTTTATTATAATTAGGACATCATGAGAAAAAACAAATAGCTCTAGGAAAATATTTGAAAATATTTGGAACATAGGTGGAAAATATGTATTTTAAAAATAATACGGAAAAAAGAATGTGTGTTGTAAAAACAATACTAATTTGCATCTCTTCTAATATGCAGTTTTCATGCCACTTAACATTCTTATCGGAATATGCTAAGTTATCAGAAATCCCTTAAATGAAGAACACCACCACCACAGAGAGAAGACAGAACCTGACTGAAGATGTGATTGAAGACTGAGTAATAGATGAGCAAATTTAATAATTTTAGGCAGATTATGCACTACATGTAAAAAAAGTCAAAAAGAATGAACGGACTTACACCGGGTGACCTTAATACGTTCTGTTATGCAACAAGCTTTTGAGACACAAGATGTCACTAGGCTCTCAAATTGAGCAAGTCAGCCCCTTCCACTCTAAGTACAGTAAAGCCACAGTGATTCACACAAGCTGAGAATCTTGCCCAGCATTTTAGCAGTAGGATATAGTCTCTGTATAAAATGGAATATATGGAAATCTGAAAGACCAAATTTCTTGCTCAAATTCCTGTAGTATTATTGCATGTTATAAGTTAGAAAACTGGAATAGTAGAAGCTGTAAGAATATATCGGGTCAGGATGTGTACTGGAATTTCCATCTAAAAAACATACCATTTAATACTCGAGGACTAAGTCTATCAGCTCATACTTTGAAGTAGATTAAAAAACTTCCAGCAGTTGATCCAGTCAGTGAAGAAAGTCAAAAAGCAACAACGCTAATGGAATTTGATTTTACCAGGGCACTAACTTTTCTAATACTACACAACTTTAGCCAGAATCAACTTATATACTTTATATGATTTTCAAATTGATTTGATGTCAGATCCCTTTTTGAAAATATGCAACTAAAACTTTTCAAAAACGGTTTCAGGACAGAAGTGTTACTACTTTAAATATTTCATTTCTGATTTTGTCTATATTTTCTGTGTTTGGGGTCTTAATATTAACAGTGCCTTTGCAACTCAACCTGGCTCATGAATCCGACCATAATTCAATACTTACTTGACAGTTTTTGTTTTATGACAAGAACGCTTAATCCACATATTAGTCATTAAACAAGGTTAGGACGACAGCAAGCAAGATATTCTGCGAGTGATTTAAATGACATACCGATACTTCCTCTTCTGCTGCAGTATCCATATGGCTGTGAAAGCTGGATCTGTCATCATCTTCATCCATATAAACTGGAGGTTCATGGGATGTCATGAAAGTTGAAGGTTTGAAAAGATGTTTATTTAAAGGGTGCTGCCGTCTACTTGATGACTATGGTGGAAAAATGATATATTTTAAAAGATATTCATTACTCAGTTACCATTTAAGTAATCTTTGTCAATAAAACCTCATCAAAAATTTGCTCTTTTACACTAAATCTATCATCTTTTCCATTATTTTTACTAAACCTATGTATCAGAGCCTCATATAGCTGTTTGGGGTTTTTTTCTCCCCATAAAAAGTGAAATCAGATGAACAGTGGAACACTTTTTTTTGTAAGAACCCAGTAAGAAAGAATCCTTACCATAAATATCCTACCATTTTAACAGTTAAAAACTGAAGCACACAAAGATTCAAAGTCTTTCCAGAGTCAGAGACACCGTTAGTGTGAGACTAGGCAAAGCTGTAGTTTGACACAGGTCCAAAACCCAAGAGGCCAGTCCAAACTTGACACTTATCATCATCAACGTCTTGTATTAATTTGTGCCTAAAAAAAATCTAAGTCTAGGCTAATTGTCCAGATTTTTTCCCTCGTCTATGGAGAGAAAAGGCAATTGTTAACAGTAATTCATTCCTCCGTAAGAGGTTTTCTAAGAGTTGGAAAGAATTGCTCTTTGAAAGTACTTTTTCATCTCCAGTGACTGGAAAAGAATCCTAAAAAAAAGTTAGATGAGATAAATTATTCCCTTAGTGTGTATCTAAAACTTTTCAACTTTAATGCTGTTTGAAGGTGCAGAATGCATGGCAATTTTAAAATAGATTACTAAAAGGCACTCAGCCCCTCTTACTTATTCCCCATGGAAGAATATTAAATATCAAATAGAAGAAGAGTTGGTGAATGAAACTGACTCAACTTTTTACTTAGATATTTTCTAGACCAGGATTTTGACATCTTAAACACATTCCACAATCTAAAGAAAATAACGTCAACCAAAAACTAGAGGTATAACAAGATTTTGTTAAAGTCATATGGCAGAGAACTGTCTTGCACTGTGTCTAAGCTTCTGTCATGAAGATAAAGCATAACATATTTACCGTAGCTAATATTTATCTTTTTACACAAGGATTTTTATCCCAAAGATTACTAGACATTTACAAACATGTTACACTATAATACAACCACTTATCTCTAAAGAAGGATTCAATAATTTAACATTATTTTACAGTTGTGCATGTAGCTATGCAGACAAAAGTTTAACAAGGAATTGAGATTAGCATTATTTACTTTTAAGGAAAACATTAAACTTGTAATAATAATTAGGAGCTGCTACCTCAGATCTGCAGAAGCATTAATATGCAAACAGTAAAAATGAACATTTTGTTTTAATACTAATGCAGTATCCATTGTGTTGAAGTTTTTTCCACCTTCTGCCTTATGATCATTGATTTCCTGTACCTGGTTTCCTTTGAAGGTTTCACACACAAATAAAACTTAGATTTATAAGGTTAAGACAGTGTTTCAGCCTTAGCTGAGAGTGTGATTTCAATTTTCTGTTAATATAAGCAAAACAGACCTGGATTCAACACTAGATCTGGAAATCCAGAAAGGAAAACCATGTCTGCACTTAAATAGCATCCCCATTACACACATAGTTCTGGCCAGGGAGGGAATTTAACTGAGGATTTGAAATCTCTTTTTAACATGATTCTGCTGTTGGTGAAGAATGAACTAGAACATATGAGGATAAAAATAATTCTTCCTGTGGGAAATACCTCTTTTGGAATGCTTAATACTGGAGGAGGGGGGCGCTAATGATAGAATATGAACATTACATCGGAAACGATGAGCCATAATTGATGAACAGAATAGCAGAGTCCGAGATCTCCGATTCTATTGTATTTTGACCGGTAGTAGATGATGGTTGAACAGTAAAATAAACTGGTTGATCCTGTTGTAAGTGATACAGAAGCTTAAACAGGAGACATTATGCCATATGAGAAGACACATACAGCATCTCCAACAAGAAGACCAGGGGATGACCAGGCTTCTCATCTCTCCACTAATCATTTCAAAAAAGCATACTGGGCAATCTTCATGGAGAAACATAAATAGCTTTTCCTTGTGAAGCACCTCTTTTTACGCAATTATTTGTATTAAATAAAACTATGTTTTTCATTCTTCCATAGATGCGTGCTTTAAGTATCAGCATCCAAATTTCATATTCCTATTACCAGCAATAAAGCAGATACAGCAGGTTATAATATACAGGCATACTCAGTATGAAAACAAGCATAAACACAGCAATCGTGATGCAAACTTTCAATTCCCCTTGCATTTTCTTTCTGCCACATTGTTATCTCCATTGGAGACTTGGGAATAACTGCAGCCTTGTACAGTGCTGTCAATCTGTGCTTTAAGTAAACAGCTATATTAGTAGACTGAGAGCTCACTTCTCTCACATATACTACCTGTTTGACTTTTTTCCATCCACTATATTTTTAGGTGGTTTACAAATATGCAATGGAGAGGCTAGTGCAAATAGGAGTTCTGCTTAATACAGACTGGGGACAATAACCTTACTCTTATGACTTGGTAATAAGGGTATGAATCAAACTGAAAACAGACACAAGTATTACATACACGCTACATATACTAGCTTAAGAAAAATCTGTAGGATGGTAGCATTATTATTGTAGTATGAGAATGTTAAGAATTTCATAAAATCTGTTTCAATCTTGATTATACTGTGTATGTATGCAGATCACAAGTGTTAAAGAACTTTGAGGATCACTGTTGAATATAGAGAAAAATACGTTTAAAGTATCACAGACGCACTGATGAAGTTAAGAGTACTCCCTGTATTCAGCTAACACAGTGATCCACTGCCTGTCAGCGCTGCTCACATTCTGTAATAAGTCTTTCCAAATAAAACTGAGAGGAAAGAAGGAAAGAAAAGTCACATGACCTAAGGTTAAGAGGACGTAAATAATCCCAAAATTTTTCAGAACGGAATTTTCAAACCCCACTGAAATTAGCCCCACAGTATGGTAAGCAATACAAGTAATTCAGAGTTCTAACAGATGGATTTAACCACAGTATTTAAGGTGTTAATGTTCCCATAAAGAATCGGATGGGGCACTCATCCTTTGTCATTCCTGATAACAGAACAGTAACTTCAGAGAAAACAAGGAGACAACTAGGGATCTGTAGCATTTTAAACTACTAGAGACTAGATTTGGTAGATCTTGCTATCAGGCCCCTCTGACAGTTACGGAACTTTACATCCCCAACTTTCAAGGGACTAAATCTGCAAACATGAATTTTTGCAGAATCAATATAAGGCTTACTCTAGTCCCAATCAGAAATCACCACAGACACCAGGATGCAAAAAGTAACGTTACTCCACAGAGTGCCAGTGCAGCAGTTCAAGAATTTCTGTAAATACAGTTAACAGAAACAAAAAAAGCGATATTGCCTGCTTCAAATACACCAATGTCTAGCGTCCTCATCAGGACTACGTGGTTTACATCAAAATACATGACTGATCTGCACAATAATCTAGGGTATTTTGTTTACTTTCCTAAACTAAGGAGATTTCTCAGGGACACACTCTTTTCTCACCTATTCCAAGATCAGGAAGAACACTATATTTTAGTGGGAAGGAAGAAGAGAGAGAAAAATCTATGGATAAAAAACCCTTCCGGAGTAAAATCAAATCTCTCATATATGGCAACTGTAGATGGTTGTAAGTGTTGCAAATCAAAACAAAACAACATTGCAGAATCAAGATTATGCTTGTGCTAGTTTAGTATGCTCAGTTATTCATAATTTTCTATGTTTTTGTTAATTAAAGATGACTGTACACCATAAGTTATAGGGCCCTTTATCCTCTTGCAATAGAGCTCTTCTAGATCAAATACAGTCAACTCACAAATGCAGAAAAAGTACCCCAAGACCAAATCATTCAGCCCTGCTAGATCAGCCTGCAGTCTGACTGCTATGCTCTTTTCTGACACGTAATTAATACGTGTTGATGTGAAACTAGAGTAACACCCAACTTGCTCTACAGTGCTAAAGCAAAAGAAAAAGAGTACTTTTATCAATGAAGTAACAAACAAACACAAGGTATAACAACCTGCCTAGTTAATAATAAAGCACTAATGAAGACTTAAATCTTTTGAAAATATGAATGATTTTGATTCAATTTGCATGTAAATGCAAACAGAAATACGATATTTCTGCTGTAATGTTGTCTCACCTTTTTGGAGTATAAATATAAGTTCGGAGTTCTTCCTGGAACTGGAATACCAGCTTTAGTCAGTTTTATAAAATATTTTTGCACCCTACTGGCAACCTATGAAAAACAACATACAACAATTAAATGTCAGATGAAATATAATTGGCTTTCACTTCAAAGATTGCCAGCATAGTTACACTAGTTCAGAATATAAGGACAAGAAATCCTACTCTGCCTACTCTGACTACTCTGACCTTCACTCATTTGCAGAAAGATACCAGTGCATTTGCAGTATTTCCAGACACACTGAAGACTTTCAGGGAAAAAAACTGTCTAAAAAGACACAGAAAAAACAAGCAAAAACAATGAGAAGGCACACAACTTCAGCAGTTTGTTACTTACTGCAACTAAACTTATTCTTCCTTAACAATGACAGATAAATTATGCACAGTGAGTATATATAAAGTGCTTCTACGTTTCATTTATGAAATAAGTAAACACACATTTTAGTTTTTCAGTACAGGTAAATATACTTGTAAGCATAGATATGATCAGAGATGAGATAATGCTGTACACTGAAATACTTACAGATGTTTTATCTGATAACATATTACTAAAATACTAGAAAACAAAGCACATCAACATTTTTGACTTAGGCTCAACATGAAGATATTACAATTTTAGGGGGAAAATGCCTACAAGCCAGCTGCAGAAACACTCATTGCCTCCAGATCTAGCCTCATTTGTAGATCTGGGCCCCAGCACAGAACTAACTCTACGACCTGCAAATACTAAAACATTTGTTTTTTCTGCAGTAGTGAGGTGGAACTCACAATTCAGAATGGCTCTTTCTACAGGAAATTCAGCAGTCCAATCTGACAGCAATTGATGTCACTATACTTACTAAACTGAATTAATGGATGCTGTCAAAATCTAAGGAACAACAATTAGATTAGATTAGAGAGTTTGTCAGGGGTTTTGAGAACTCCTAGATTTCTAGATTTCATTGAGAAAGAAAGGGTCAGGTTTGTTATTAGTCATATGCAGGCCCTGATGTTAAAGTTCTAAGAAAAAAAAGGTAACTGAAAAGATGCTGGGTTTTATTTAATGCTATTAAACAAAAAAAACCCCTACAAATAAATCTACTGTGAGTTTATGTTAACTCCCAGGACACAGTAGCTGATACCAGTACTACCACAGCCAAGACACTACAGTGTTCAACGAATGCCCAAGAATTCCTATCTTTTTCTATGAAAATAAGCTTTATTGCTTTCATTATGAACATTACTGGCTTGTTAAAAAAAACAAAAAACCCTCTTTTCCAGTTCCTCCTCACTTTATGAATTGTTATTTTTGCCAGGCAAATCCCAAATTAGAAAAACAATTACTTAGTGTTGAAAAGCCACTCAGGATACAATCCTTTAACAGTGCCTTCTAACAAAGCCAAAAGATGTAACCAAGGAAAGGGATTACTTTTCCAAGTGTTCTTTTTACCTGCTTTGCTGTTCTATTTCCCAGCTCATCAGCTATCTTCTGCCACCGTCGGGACTCTACTTCCTCTGGTGGATACTTCAAAAGTAATTGCTCAAGTTTTTTCTAAATTAAGCACAAATTAACAGAAAATATAAACACATCTTTCCTAGTAGAGGTATGAGTTGTCATGAAATAAACATGTCTATACATGTTTATTTCAATTTCTAAGTTCTTTAAACATTACTATACAGTTTGCTTTTATTCTCATGTACATTACTACAATTACAGAAATGGAATGGTTTCCTATTACCTGTTCTTCTACAGTCCACAGCTGGTTAAAAGTTTCGGGTTTGGTCTCGTCGCAAAGTCGCCCTCTTATCATCTGCTTGAATACAGCATATAAATTGGAATAGGTCTTTAGAAAGAAGGAAGTTAGGATCTCGATTTTAACCCTCTTCCTACGTAAGTAAAACCAAGCCCAAAACAAACAAATGCAAGAAAAGTTGAACTAAAATTTGCTGGAACTAAACATTAGTTCTCTGATTTGAGTACACAAATAAAACGTCATTACCAACTTGAACATTTTAAGTAAAAGTTTACGTTATCCACACTCCTATATTATAAACACTTAAAAGTTGCAATCTTGTAAAATTTTGTCTTTTCTTTCGTAAAAACTACCTGTGGACGACTGCTTGTAGAACCTTCTGGACCATCACTTAAAGGCAATACAGAGTACGAAACAGACTCTCCATCCTTCTTGGGATCCAAAGGACTTTTTGGTCTTGCAGGTATACCCACTGTAAGCAACACAAGAAAGGAAGTATTAGACCTCCAGGTTGGTAAATTTTTTCTTACAATTTACACTTATTTTTCTTTTACCTTTGTCAAAAATCAGCTTCACTCTCCTACTGTTACGCTTTCGGTTTTTGAATTCTCTCTCAAAGTTTCCAAGGCTAGTGGTGTATTGGTCCCAGGAAATCTCAGGGAGCTGAACAACTCTCTGAGGATATGGAAGACCCATATCAACCTGGAGGGGGGGGGAAAAAAATCAAGTGAAAAGCAATATTTAATGTAATTGTTGTTCAAAAAAAGGAAAGAAAAAAAAAGTTGTGAAACCCTGAAACTGCTTTTTAGGTAACAGTGAAACTCAAAATCAGTATTTTGAAGTGCCATGCAGCACACAACCTTTATATGGGGAAGATATTTTTGAAGAGTAATACACAACAGTGCACATAAAATATGCAGCGGCACGGTCAATGATGGCTTATTGGGCACAGGAGTTTAAAATACATATTTCCCAGATGAAATCAGGTGTTCTGACTTTAATATCCTGTTACTTTCTATCTTTATTTTTTTTTAAGATACTGTTTGTCCAGGATTTGTACCTTTCTTAAGAAACACAGGAAACTATGGGGTGCAAAGTCTTCTCGTCTGATAAAACCTAAACCTCTCCCATCAAAGAAACTAATGTATATTCCACACTGATTTTCCTGTCTTCTGCCTAGAAACCAACTGCTGCAAGGCCCATCACTTTATTGTAAGGTCAGCCTTACAATAAGCATCATTCCTTTGGTTCAGAGGCAAAATACACAGGATGCTTTCAACTAGCATTAATGTTTGATATGATTGTATCAGGGAAACACAACACTATTATATCTTGCATGCTATTAACTCATGTCAAAATTTAAAGGACAGACAACCACTGAAACCAATGGCCCTAGGTCAGACCTCTCTATAAGCCTAGGTCTCTACAAACCTAGGAAAAGGCCTCTATAAAATACCTACCTTATTCCCCCCTGAAAAGCAATATATTGCTATCAGACTAAAAGGTCAAGCATATCTGTCATTGGAAGATATGATAGAGAGTATTCAAGTCTCAAACATTTTTTCGGTGTCCTTGTAACTACATTTTTTTCCCTTAAGCGTAAAAAGAACATGCTTCCTTATCAAAATTCACCCTCCCCCATCACACAAAGTTCTAGTTACGTTATCCAGCACTCACCCAGGTACGTTTTCCAGTGTCATTTTGGTTTTAAATTACGAACTACATTTCCTGCTCTTTAAGTACCCTGCCTGAAACCAAATTAACTCAGAGCACATTGAATTCCTCTAGTGACAAAAGTAAGGAAGTCTTGATCTAATACCTTACTACAAAGTCCTTTCAGTCATCTACAGATTTCAGTGTCTTAAAATGTCTACACTGCATTAGAAGTTTAAAATCACATGTCTATGTGCCAAAAAAAAGCAAGCAAGCATATCTAACACATTTTTTGAAAACCTGTTATCTTACAGATTTAATAACCAAACCCAAAAAGCACAGGGCCATTTTTGCTTATTAGAAAAAGAACTTTAAACTAATAATGTTTATGCAAGCATATATAAAATTACCTGATTTCTACAGATGATGAATTACTACTTATTAAAAAATTAAAAATCTGAGTAAAACTTAAGAAATGCCCAATGAAATACCTTCTTCTGGAGTCTTTCCACAAATCCAATAGGATCTTTCAGGGCTTCTCTCTGGTGTTTGCCTAAACTTTCAAGGTCTTGAACTGCTTGAGTACGTTGAGCCTCGAGTACAGCAATCGTCTGTAACAGTCTCTGATAACTACAGAGACAAAGGAAAACATCTCACTAAATTTTTCTTTAAAAGCAACCCCCTCCCACCAAACTAAATACTAGCCATGATTAGCTACTAGCATCTACCAGATTTCGCAGTTTATCTGAAACAGTTTATAGACATTTTTACTGAATTATATCAAATCTATTCTTAAGCAGTAGATGAAGTTATATAAACCAATAAAAAATAATTAAAAAAACCCAAGTTGTTCCTTTAAACTTAAATCTTACTCTAGCTAAAGTGTCCCTCTGTCAGGGACAAGTTTTTTATGTTCTCAACAGCTATCATCAACCGTCAACTTTGCTTATAAGGGTGAAAAAAAAACCCCAAATCACAAAATTTCTTCCCCCTTTCAAAATAAGCTTCCTTCCACCCCAACATAAATGGCTCTATTATGAAATTTTAGTATTTCACTGAACCACCCACAGGGTGGATAAGAATGACTTAGAAACTTTGTGTCTAAACATTTCAGAGAAGCTTCAGCTTAGAAGAATCATTTACAAAATGTAACAATAAACCAAGAAACAAGGAATATACAAGAGATCCCTTTAAGAATACAGAAGTTGAATGAAAATGGCAGTATTCCCCCAAACCTGTCATCTGCATTCAAATAAGATTCTGATTTTCTATTTAAGAGATGCATCTGATAGTCACTTATGTGACTATCATACCTGTATCTGATAATGTAACCTGCCCAAACTGCCTTCTGTGAAGCTCACTTGGTGACAGGAAATGATACAATCCTGTACCACAGCCTATAAAAAATGAGTAACTACATTTAATACCTTTTATTAGCTTTGCAGTTGTTGGCTTACTTTCTGAATTAAGCAGTTGCCTGTGGGCCCTATTGTTGCAAATTATTATGTAGCAATTTAACTTTCTCATGAAAACACTTTCTGACGTTTAATATTAAAACTCTATTTTAATTCAGTGCAAAATATGACCTAACATATTAAAATCAGATAAAATTTATTCATCACCACCCCATTTCAATAAATATTCTACGTCTTCATTGCTAGAACAAAGACAAACCTAATGCTCCGAGCTCCCCACATAGTCACACGAGATCCAAAGGTTATTAAGTTAATGCAAGCTTTTCAATTAACTATACTGGTAACTGGATAAAGCTTTAAATGGAAGGAACTAAAGAGCTTCAAGACAAAATATAGACTTCCTGTCATCAAATATTTAAGTTTCTGCCATAACATTAAACTGCTTCCTCCCCCCCAAAAGGATAATTTTCTTCCTACTTAAACACAGTATCTGAAAACATAAAGTACAAGCCCTGAAATTTGAAACTAAAACACTGAAATTGCTTAAAACAGTAAGATATAATTCTGTTATGAATTAATAGCTATTTAAATTTGCTTGCAGATACTGAGGTTATATGCAACTGAGAAGTAAACTACTTGTTAAATTCGCCATTAATATTGTACCACTACCGGCAGAGCGCTCCAGTTTCTTCTAACGAAACAACTCCACATAAAAACAACAACCACCACTAAGCTGATAGCAAGGTAATTAACAGCGTTATTCTTGAACAGGCAAATTAAAGGACTTGAGAAACAAATTTTGTGAAAATAGCGACAACACCTCAGAACCATCGGCTTTTTCTCCAAGACAGGCAATTCAAAAGGCTATAGGCTCACAGGAATCAATGTCTCCACTTAGCTTCCACAAGTAACATCCGATCGCCGCCCACCCTTGCGCCGGGCGGCCGCTGGCCACGCGCAGGCGAGGGGCCCCCAGAGACCGCAGACTCAGCAGGGAAGTCCGGCCACAGTAACGCCGGCCAAGTAGCGCTCGCAAAAAAGTCCGACATTTGCATCTAAGATTTCACATAAATATCTACTATCCCTTTTTGAGCCGTTTTACCTTGTTTACTCAAACTGCGTTTAAGTGATTGCTTTTCAAAAAGAAACAAAAGTCACTTTCTTAAAAGCATTTACATATTTTGAAGAAAAAAAAAAGAGTAACGTTGGTGATTTTAGAAGAAATACTCGTTTTAATAAGGATTCACATGTGTAGAATATGGGAAGACCCTTAATATGGTCTTATATAATCAAGCTTGAATGAAAAGAGTAGAAATTACAGTTGGGAAGAAATAACAAACAAAACAAGAATCTAATGACTTCCTCTCCTCATTCAAGTGCTCACGTGCTGTCCTCATTGAAGCGACCAGGGAACAGAAGTTAAATGGTTCAAAAACGATCTCTCTGTTTTTGGTGGAAATATGAAAAATATTTCATTTCACAATAATTCAGAAACAGTTCACGTAACGTTAATCTGCAGATATGTAGCGCTATTATCACAAAATATTTCAGGAGAGAAAAAGGTTTTTGAGTAAACCATTCAAACAGATATGCCAGCATTTTTTCTGCTTCTGCTAAAGAAATGCATTTACTTGGAGCCAAGCACTTTAACTTCCGTACTCAGTTTTTATGAATGGATGTATTCTGAAGCCCAGTTTGTATGTCAAAAGTTTGTATGCCTTTTAGCTCTATGGCTCTACATGACTTTAATAGAGCCAGGCACTCCTCTGAGAAAGCAATTAGTCAAGTAACATAAACGTTGAGCACTTTTGAGAAAGCCCTGTCTTTTCTGGCTTCAAGCAGTAACACAATACCTTTTACTGCATTAACTACGGGTGTGTATGATTTACATGATCATTTCAATAACAGTTTTGCTATCCATTTTCCCAGAGTCTCTCTGAAAAAGCCTAACAGCTGCAATTCAAACTACTTCCTGCAGTTGCTCGAAAATTCCCCCCAAAATTTAAAAAGCCTAACGAAGATAAGGCAATGGCTACTGGGAACAGAAACCTACCTGGAGCCCAAGTCTTTACAGCCTGCTTCAAAAGTGGCTTCATACTTCAATTAGCTAACCAAACAGCAACCAATTCTAAATTATCTAGCTACAATTACGTAATTGTCTCTGAAAGATTCCTGAGAAATTACCAAGGAAAATCATCACACCTCACCTTCCAAAATAAACCAACCTCGCTTAACCAAAGATAAGTCATTTGAGCAAGCTTGCAGTCAGTCATATTACCTACACTGATTGAAGTTCCACATCTTCCCAGTTCCGTAATTACTAAATTATTAGCACACACCAAGTCGCAAGCATATACTTCTCTGTAGGAACACTCCATTCTGCCGAACTTCGGCCCGGGGTGTCCACGATTCCAGTACTAAAACGCCACTCTTTTTCTAAATCACACTAGATTGCCGAGAAGCTTACACATTAATACTTCAGTAATACAGCACGCTACAGGAACACTAAGTATCTCTACGCTTAAAGAACGTCAACAAAAGGGGTTTACTATTTAAAAAAGGAAAGTCATTTCTTCAAAAGATTGGTACTAATCAGCAAGCACACCCACGGCGATCGATCGTTCTGCTGTAGCGTTAGCAGACACCTTTTTGGATTGCTCTGTAAAATAACTACTACGTAGCAGCACCGATTTTCTGGACTTGCTGCCGTAAGCAGGCAGTTGTTACGCTCCCCGTTTCTGTGAGCCTGCTTCCAACAGCGATTAAGGACACAGCAGCCACCCCTCCTGTCCACGCTAAAGCTTGAAAATAGTTTAACTACAGCCTGAGTGGCATTCCTTTTGATTCAGTTTTCTGAGATTCACTTTTGAGATGCCAGGATTATCTATTATTTCCATCCTGTCGTAACACTATTTACATGTCCAGATCTAAGCACCCAGCATTAGATCACAGACTGTTTTTTCCTTGCACTAGGAACAACCAACCAGATTTATAAAGCACAGATATCTGCGTCAATCTGCCTTAAGGACAGCACAAGTTTCTTAAGTTTCATCTTATTTTTATACTAAATGACTGAACACTAGCCTGTGTAAGAGGCCATGTCATTCAGCATTTCTAAATAAATTAATTTTAGTATTACAGAAACAGTCCTTCAATCACAGATAATGCTAGTTGCTCTATGGCTTCTGAAGGCTTCTCTTTCAAGATATACTACTGTACTTTAAAACTTATGTGAATGAGCGATCTGAGGAATTATTATTGTAAAAATCAAGAACTGAACTTTCTGGTAGCTAATTCAAATCAGCGGATAGCATAAAATGAGCAAGTGAGGCTTTTCAGTTAAATTCTGTTAAACAAATATGAGGCACCAGTTTTGTCTGGTTGGACAATTTAAGGGGCAGACACAGAAGTGGCTGCTGGTAACATTTACCAAGTACCATAAAAACACCAAGCCTCCTGTGAAAACAAGCCCCTACAAAGACAGAACCTACAGAAGAAATTAAGAACATATGAGGAAAGTGAGATGGCAGCCATTGGCCCTATCTCAGCCACAAAAAAAGAAGAAATTTCATCACAAGTGCCTTTATCCAAAGTTAATTTACATATGGAGTTGAAAATGGCAAATACTCCTTCAAAACTCTACTACCCACAAGTTGATGAGTTTTCCTGATTTAATACTCCAACATACGTGCAATGCACTCTCTTGCCTTTAAGCGAGAGACTCGGGAACAGCAGTATTACTTCTACTTTCCCCTCAAATGAAAATAAGTGAAACTTATGGAAGGAGGCCCTTTTTCAAAATCCAGTCCTTATTCCCTAAGGCAACTAAGCTTTTTTAACCTTATGTGATTACATAATTGCCTCCAAAATAATGATACAATGAACAGTTTCACATTAACTTATTTGATTAAAATTGCCAGGCTTGGATTGCCTCAAAGTTTTACACGGTATTCGCACAGTCTATCTTATAGGCACATAACAACGTTTATTATTTGCCTTTGGCATGAACCGCT